GATAGTATTTTAGGGTTTTTAGATCACGTGTAGGTGCTGTCAGATTCTTTTCCTTTAAAAACATAAATTCCATTCTTTGTTCAATATCATGCTGAGGGCCAAAGGCAGGCTCCCAGAAGTAGATGTTGTTCTCCCAAGCCCCCAGGGTGTATGCGGGCATGCATGTATCTCCTGACAGTTTACCTAGCTCCCCATTTGGGCACTGCATCAGGGTGCCCGTACGCAGTGTTCCCTTGGCTGGTTTTCTTCGAAACCTCTGTTTGATCATGGTCTCTTAAGAACTCTTCTGACAGGTCAGTAGATGGACAGGTGTGAAGCTGGAGCTGTTGGAGCCTGGCGTGGTGGCTCATGCCTGTAATCCCAGCACTTAGGAGGCTGAGGAAGGAGGATCATTGCAAGTTCAACAGCCTGGGCTACAAAGTGAGCTCAAGGCCAGCATAGCGAGACCCTGTCTCAAAAAAGAAAAAAAGAAAAAAACAAGAAGCTGGAGCTGTTGGGAATTGTCAGCTTGTGTGCTTCTCAACCTGGGATGATTTTCGCCTGCCCAGTCAGTGACATTTTTAGCTGCCGTAACTGGGTGAAGGTAGTAAGAGGCCAGCACAATGCTAAAAATCCTACGGCACACATAAAACCTCCTCTCCCACCAAAGAATAGTGTGGCGTCCATGCAGAGTCAGTGCCGAGGCTGAGAGAAACAACTTGTACAGCAGGTTTGATCTCTTCTTTCTTTCTTTCCTTTTTTTTGTCTTTTTCATTTTTATTGGTACCAGGGATCCAATTCACGACCATCTGCTTGCAAGGCAGGTGCTTATGCCGCTGAGCTAAATCCTCAGCCCCTGATCTCTTATTTCATGGGCAGTTTTTATTCCACTGCAAACCTGTGGAATCTGTCAGCTAGTCTATCTCAAGACAGTTCTGTGAGTTTCCTACTTTTTCATTCTCTCTCCTAGAAAAACTAGGGGCCATTGTCTCCGCCAAGGCATCTTCTTCCTTTGTCTTTGGTGTTTCTGTTCTGTCTTTACACTCTTTGAAAGTGGTACTGGATTAATTAATACTTCCTTGATTCTGCTCCTGCATAAATAATCGGTGACCCCAGTTAGTAGGCATTAGTCTGTTGTTTAAACATCTCCAAGGATTCATTTTTCTCAGTGGGCAGCACATTTATTTCATCGCTAGATCATAGAGGATGCAGACATGATCTACCATGTGAGCTTGGTGATTAGATCGTGTGGTATCCAAAGAGTAATATGTTGTCAGATTTTTCGGGCATAGATGTGGGCTTCAAAAAGCCCAAGCCAGGCATGGTGACACAAGCCAGTAATTCCAGCTATTTAGGAGGCTAAGGCAGGAAACATGCAAGTTCAAGGGCGGCCAAGGCAATGTAGCAAGAACCTATTTCAAAAAATAAAAAGAACTGGGGCATAGGTCAGGGGTAGAGCCGCCTGAGTTCATTCCCCAGCACTGCGTTTTGTTTTGTTTTGTTAGATTCTTAAAAAGTACATTTGTGGGGCTGGAGGTGTAGCTCAGCAGCATAAGCGCCTGCCTTGCAAGCAGGCAGTCCTGAGTTCGATCCCCAGTACCGATAAAAAGGAAAAAGACAAAAAAAAAAAAAGTACATTTGTAAATAGCTCCCATTTATGAAATTATCATTTATTAGTAAATAGTTGTATGAAGGCAAAGGGCTCTTTGGGTAAGCCTACTATGAACACGTTAAAGATTACCATAGTCTTTAATATATTTTATACTCAGTGACAGAAAATTATTACAAAAAGAAATTTCTGTGTTGAGGAATTAGTTAGGAAACTGTCATAAAAGTATAATAAAAAATAAAATTTTGATCCTTTGAAATAATGTACTACGATAGTCACATGGATTAAGAATTATTTACCAGATTCCCCTGAAATGATCCCTAGTTTTCATTGAAATTGATGGGCATTCTTTTGATTAACATGTTTCTTTAGAACTATATTTTGTGATAAGCACATTTTTAATGGCAATTTTACTTACATTTATACCCATTAGTAATGATACTTAGTATATAAATGCCTTTATCTGACGCAGTACATTGTAATATCAAAATCTTAGTCTTTTTAAAAGAGCAATTGATTAGCACAAGGTTTTCAGGAAAATGTTATCCAAAATAAGTTATTAGAAGTAATAAAATGTTAGAATAAGTGCAAGTAGAATTAAATGATAATCAAAATGTAAAATACAGGGGCTGGGGATTCAGCTCAGCGGCATAAGCGCCTGCCTTGCAAGTGTGTGGTCATGAGTTTGATCTCCAGTACGGATTTAAAAAAAAAAAAGACGAGAAAATATAAAATACAGATTTCAAGCCTGTGTATCTACCAGTAGGATGGTAAATGTGATATAATCAATTTTGTTTCTTTCCTCAGTACTGTGTTTAAAAAAAAAAAAAAAAAAAACTCCTTTTCGTCATTCTGGGTTCTGTGCACAGCCTTGGGGCTCGGAACAGAAGGCCATCTCTTATTTAAATGGCTACTCTGTGCTCTGGGCTTGTTTTATCTCATTTAATCACCTCAAACAGCCCAGGAAGGTAAAGATTATCACAGTTGTGGCTTTCCAGATAAGCTGAAGTTTAGTGGGGTTAAGTAATTGGCCAGGAACATATGGTGGCTTTTCTCTGCAGCACATGTTAACAGCAGAGAGCTCGAGCCAGTTAAGGGACAACACAAAAATGAGTTTGCTTCCGCTGTTGGATAGCGGCATCTCTTTACTCAGAAAGGAAAGCGGAAGCTGAGGTGGGAAATGGAAAGTGATTTTAAATTTCCAATGGAAAAGATAGAACTCATTGGATGAGGCTTCAGATAATCGGTGTATTTGGCAGGAGGCATTCATCACATGCCTGTGTGATGCCGGGGTAGCAACCCAGGAACTTGGTGCATGCTAGGCAAAGTTACACTATTAAACACTCAGCACCTTGGGAGGCCTTCTGGGTGACAGCACTCTGCGTTGTTTTGATTTGCTCCCTCTTAGTTACACTAAATAGTACGTAAGTACCTTTCCTTATACCTTGTCTTATTTATGTGTGGAAGGGGCCAGTTTGAGACAAGATCTTTCTATATTGTTCAGGCTGGTCCTGATCTCAACTATGTAGCCCAGGCTGGCCTTGAGCTTGCAGCAATCCTGCCTCAGCCTCCTAAGTGCTGGGATCACAGGTATGTGCCACATACCTGGCCCCAATCTGTCTTTGTTTTTAAAATCTGTTAGGAAAGTTAGGTGTAAAATAAGGCAAACAGTCTAGTAACTGTCACTGAGATGACCCCTGAATCCCATGTCCTGGGGATTGAACCCAAGCTCACAGTGAGCTGTATTCCCGCTTTGAGACAGTGTCGTGATAAATTCCCCAGGCTGGATTTGAACTTGGAATCTCTTGGCTTTACTCTTCCAATTTAGATATTTGGGTTTTTTTGTTTGTTTATCCTGGTTTTCTGAGATAAAGTCTCCAGTATAGTTTAGGTTGGCCTTGAACTCACTCTGTAATCCAGGCTAGCCTCGACTCACAGCAATCATCCTGCCTCAGCCTCCCAAGTGCTTGGATTACAGGTGTGTGCTACCATGCCCAGTCTACTTTTTGTTTTTCGCTGTGCTGGCAGTAGAACTCAGGGCTTTGTACATACGAGGCAAGTACTCTACTACGGACAGTATTCCCAGTCCTACTTGATTTTATTTTAAACTCTAGAGAAAAGATACAGTCCTATATATTACATATGATGTACATTGAACTACATTATAAAATTTATTCATATTTATACATAATATAAAATAGTATAGTATTAAATTTTAAATAAATGTGTAATTTCAGTGACTTAGCTTTTATAGTAACTTTTGATGGTGACAGTGCTTATTTTTAGAGATTTTAAATCATAAAGTATAATGGAAATATCTTCTGATTTCCCCCTTAAGCTGAATTTGAGCCAAGATTTAAGAGTCCATTTTTGTGGTTCACCCCAACATGCAGTGACATGGTGAAAAACTGTATTGAAACCTGGCATTGTAGCATGTGCCTGTATGCTTCAGCTCTTAGGATGCTGGGACAGAAGAATCAAATCACTTAGTTCAAAGTTCTAGCCCAGCCTGGGCAACATAGTGAGATACCCCTTCCCCACCCTGGTAAATTGCATGGCTGGAAAATAAAGTCAAAAAAAAGAAAGGTTCCAGGGTGATGCTGCACGCCTATAATCTGTTCTCTGGGTGGCTCAGGGAAGACCACTGTTTTAAGGCCAGCCTGGGCAACTTAACATGACACAATCTCAAAATCAATTATTAAAAAGGGCTGAGGCTCTAGCTCAGTGTGGAGGTCCTGGGTTTGATCCCCAGTACCACAGTGCCTTTACATACCCCTCCCCCCCAACACACACATGAAGGAAAAAAAACCCTCTTGGCTATGGTTGGCTTTGAACATTTCAATTTTTCTGAAATTTTTTCTCTAACTAGCATTTGCTGCCATCAAGGCACTCTGAAAGTATTGTAGAAGAAAAGTTCCAAGTAAAACTGGTGACATGGAAATAGTGTCAGCAGTCACTTGAAGTGTCTTCATAAGAGGCCAAAGTTAGTCATTAAAACTCGTGGTCTTGACTGACCTAACCATGTCTTTGTGTTCCATGGTCACTGGTCACTGCATTCGTGAAGTCAGATAAAATGAAGATAGAACAAAGGGTTTTCATTAGTATTCTAATAAGGATGCTAATTTGTGGCAGATTATATAGTTTAAAACTAAAACCACTGTGCTTGGCATCCATGCATGTGCTGTTACCTGAACAAACTGAACTTTGATTCCTTGGCAACACCAAAGACTTGGGCATTTGACCCTAGAGGGCAGATGGAGGCTTTAGGGAGTGGCGAACCCTAACCCTAAATAGCCATCCTGAAGTTTCTAAAGAATGTTACCTGGCCTTTTGGCTCTATAGGAGTTAAACCTGGGGTTATGGCAACTTGGTTTGACCTTGGCAAAATATTTCCCTTGACTTAATCTCACAGGTTTAAACTTTGAGAAGAATAGTGCAGACTTTCGATATGGAGCCTCTCAAGTTGAAGATATGGGGCATATAATTTTAGCGATGATATCAGAGCCTTACAGTAAGTCTTGCTGTCATCGTCAGTCATAGAGTTGGGTTCTACCATCCTTCCTTGACCCATGTGTTTGAGTTTGTTTCTAAAACTTTGTGTGTCTGATAACTAAAATGGTGACTTGTGTTTTCTCATTCTCATTTTTAGATCACAGATTTTCTGATCCAGAGAGGGTAAACTACAAATTTGAAAGTGGCACTTGGTACGTAGCTAAATACTATTCACTTGAGTTTTTTTTTTTAACTGCTAATGCTCCTTATATTTTAGAAACTTAACCTTTTGATGTCATTTCATATTGTTAGGCTATTTATGAAAATAAACTTGGATACTGGTAGTAAAATTATGTGAAACACAATATCGACATCTTATTCAATGACTAGAGGTACAACTTAGACTGTTTGTATCTGTGATTCTTATTTTATTCCTCTAAAATTGTCCATCCTCCACTTGGAATATCTCCAAAGGAAAAAATTAGGGTTAAGTGTGTTTTTCCAGCTTCTGCTTGAAAGCAGATGAAACAGCTAGAGAGGAATATAATGTTGTGCTGTCTTTACTTGTGACCAGGCAGGCCTGGTGAAATATAAATTACTGTAGTGAATTGCAGGTGATTGGTACCTGATATAGGTAGAAACTTCTGACAGCTTTGCCTGTGGAGAGACTTTGAAGCCTGTTAGGTTGCAAAGAAGGTGACCCATTAGGAAAATGTCCTAGGATTACTGAAAGCATGAACCTCAGAAGAACAGAACATCAAAAGGTGTCAAAATGTATAAGTGCTTTCTGAAGGGCTCAGAGGTATTGGGATTCCCAAGTGCCAACATAAACATCCTGGGGTGACTCTGGTTGGACAGGGGAGATATTTCCGTGGAAGAGTTCTCACTGCATACACACATTCCTATTGTGTGTTAGTTGCCAGCTCTGTTCTGACCCTAAGTTTTGCTTCCAAGTTGGATTTAACACCCAATTATTGTTACCTATATCTGAGAATTAATTTGAATTTGTCCTTGGTTCTAGCGTCTTTCAGGCCATGAGGGTCTTGGGAGAACTTTGCATATCATGAGTTGACCGTAGGGCCTTTAGTTTCTGAGAGGTGAGTGGCTCCTCAGCTGAGAGACACTTTGCAGGAGGAGTCAGGTGGTCTTGGACCTTCACAGGCAGATGTCTGTAGAGTGAACAAACTAAAGGACGCTTCTGAGGCCTGAGGAACGTGAGGAAGTACAGCAAAGCCCGTCTGAACTGCAAATAAATCGACCTCACAGATTCCTGGGCACACTGTCTAGCAGGGATTCATGGACGCATTAACTTTGCAACCTGAAGTTTTTTATTCATCCACAGCAGCAAGATGGAACTTATTGATGACAACACTGTGGTACGGGCACGAGGGTTACCGTGGCAATCTTCAGATCAGGACATTGCAAGATTCTTCAAAGGACTCAATATTGCCAAGTTGGTTTCCTTTAACCTCTTGTTTTGTTTTGTTTTGAAACAATCCCAAAGGCTTACCAGATTTCCCATCTTGCTTTTCTCCTCGCTGAGTTTCCTACCTGCCATCTGTTTCGTTCTTTTCAAAGGGGAGGTGCAGCACTTTGTCTGAATGCTCAGGGTCGGAGGAACGGAGAAGCTCTGGTTAGGTTTGTAAGCGAAGAGCACAGGGACCTAGCACTGCAGAGGCACAAACACCACATGGGGACCCGGTACATTGAGGTACGTTCTTCACTGGAGACCCTCCGCCCTCTCCTGAGCATCAATGTGGAACGGAAGGCTCAGAAACAGGGCATTTGAACTTCTCTTTGTTTTTACAGGTTTACAAAGCAACCGGTGAAGATTTTCTTAAAATTGCTGGTGGTAAGTGCCTTTATATAGTGTCTTTAGTTAATACGACAGAAGTGTTTGCTTATATATTAAGAGTAGAGGAAGGAATAGGGATATGCAGTGCTGATAGTTCAGTTGCAGAGTCCAGTGTGTGGCTTTGCCTTTATTCTCACCACACATACATACACAGATCACGAATGATTTTCATTGCTTAGTAAAACTTGGGAACTCTTTCTTACTGAGTTTACATTCAGTGCTGGGTGTGGTGGTGTACCCCGATAATCCCAGCACTCTAGGGGCTGAAGCAGGAGGATCACTGGGAATTCCAGGCCAGCCTGGGCTACATAGTAAGTTGAAGGCAAGAATCCTGTCTCAAAATAAAGTACTATTACAACTCCTTTTGGCCTGATTGAATCTATTAGGGGTTAAATAGCCATTAAAAGTGCCATAAAAATATACAAAGATGTTGACCTGAAATAAGCCTTTCTTGTTTGTGGGTGTCAAGTATTTTGTTTCCAAAATGAAAAAAGTAACTAAGACACTTTGGAACTGTAAGAATATAAATTTATGTTTTAAAAAAAAGTGTAAATCATGTAAGGTCACATATTAAGGGAAAGGGTAATTTTTGAAAGAAACGTATCTAAAAACTTCTCAAGCAGACACAACTGTGTTACATAGGACTCTCAAATGTCTGCTTCTAATTTTTCTTTAAATTACTCATATCAGTGGCAAGAAACTTACTAGTTTTACATAATTTTTAAGTCCTAACTTTTTTTTAAAGGAATGACTTTCAAACTTATAAATAACACACAAAACATAGTAACTGATTTGTATAATTTTTCTCCTATTTATACATCTACTTAAATTTCTATGTTCTTTTCAGGTTGTTTTATAACTTTCTTTCTTGGATATATTATAAACATTTTCCAGTGGTACTCAATTTTCTTCTTCTTTTTTTTTTTTTTTTTTTTGTCTTTTTCTTTTTTATCGGTACTGGGGATTGAACTCATGACTGCCTGCTTGCAAGGCAAGAGCTTATGCCGCTGAGCTAAATCCCCAGCCCCTCAATTTTCTTAAATGTTCATGTGTACTTAGTGTGTGTACCACAATGTTTTTAAACATTCTTATTTACATATAGAGCATATTTCCAACATTCACTTTAAGCGTGTTGCAATAAGTATTTTTGTATCTCTAGATGTGCTATTCATTAGGATAAATCTTAAAATAGGATAGCAGAATCTAAGAAGTGGATTTTTTAAAGAAATTTTTGAGCCAGGGCTTTAGCTTGGCATAAGCATCTGCCTGACAAGCACAAAGTCATAAGTTGGATCCCTGGTACCAAAACAAAAAAAAAAAAAAGAAAAGAAAAGAAAAATTTGACACTTAGTAACAAGTTCTATTGGGCAACTTTCACTTAAATACAGAACATTTGTTTTGTACAGAGATATGTTTTCCTCCATAATGCAGTTGTAGAACACTGATTACATTCTCTTAGCATAACTAAATAGTATATTTGTATTTTGGCACTAGTTCTTTAGGAATGCCCTAAGGCTTAAAAATTCAGGGTTTTAATAAGGTTACCAAAATTCCAAAGCGATGTTTGATTGACGAGGGATAAAATACATTTGGAGTTACTATATTCTTACCTGAATACTGGGGTTGCATGGTGGATGTATTACAAGTTGGGGATAGCAAAGTTAACCAGTATTATTGTTGTTGCCTTGGATTTCATTGCATATAAATAGTTTGATAAGAATTTCCTATAAAGAATGTGGCATGGTAGCACATGCTTGTAATTCCAGCACTCTGGACACTGAGGCAGGAGGATTGCAACAAGTTTGAGGTCAACCTAGACTACATAGTTAAAGGCCAACCTGAACTACATAATGAGGCCCGTATGTCAAAATTTTTAAAAAAAATTTTTTTCCTATTAAGAAAAATGTCCTACTGTATTAGTTTGATAGACATGTGTTTCAGTACTTGTTACATGGCATGCTGTACAGAATGCTTTGGTTAGGGCAGAATGTTGATACAATGGAGACGTGTGCAATTATATTGATTACACTTTTTTTTTACTGCCTTGTGTTTGAGAGTTTAGTTTTTGTGTCCTGGAGATTGAAGTGACTGCTTTACACATGCTCAGCAAGTGCTCTGTCATGGAGCTATGACCCCAGCCGTTTTGCATCTCACTGAGTTGCCTAACTGGCATAACATTTGGGAACTTCTAGCCTCTACCTCTCAAGTAGGTGGGATTACAGGTACTCATGCCTATGGCTGGTTTTAAAATTGCCAATAAAAATCAATTACAACAATAAACCCAAAGTGCTTTATCAACATCAACGTACTTAATTCTCATAGTTGTGCTTTATTATTTTTTTATTTTTATTTTCAGTTTTTTTTGAGACTGGATCTTACTATGCAGTTCAAACTGGCCTTGAACTCATATAGCCTAGGCTGGCCTTGAACTTGTGGCAATCCTCCTGCCTCAACCTCTGGGTAGTAGGATTACAGGCATGCAAATTACAATTATAAGTATGCATGATCAGGCCCCGAATAATTCTCATAATTTATGAAGCAGGCAGTTTTACAGATGTGGGAACTAAGGCACAAGCAGTTAAGCTTGCTAAGGTTCCCTAGTAAATAGAATGGCTAACATCAGATCCAGATGGTCTGCCTGCAGGGCCTGTGCTGTTTGTTGTTATTCTGGTCACAGTCCTGGAAATCAGACCTGGCCTCCTTTAGTAGGCGAGCACCTGCCATAGAGTTGACACCTTTAGCTAGCACTGATGTCTTTAACTAGCATGAGGACTGAGACAGTGGCCCCCCAGTGAGAGAAAATGGTTGGCCTATCATTTAATGATCTGACCAGCTACATGGAGATGGGTGTTTATGGAAATGCTAGGTGAACATTTCTAATTTAGAAGAAGGGAATTTTTATTGCCAGGATATTGTTAGTATGAATTCAGTGGGAAGGTGGACCTTGATTTTGAAGTCTAGCCATTGGCAGGATTTCATAAAATTCAAAGCATTTTGAATTCGCTCAAGTCGGTGTCTCACCTGTTTCTCTCCATGCTTTCTAATGTTGGGCTTTCCCAGGAACATCTAACGAAGTAGCCCAGTTTCTCTCCAAGGAGAATCAAGTTATCGTGCGCATGCGCGGGCTCCCTTTCACGGCCACGGCTGAAGAAGTGGTGGCCTTTTTTGGACAGCACTGCCCCATCACTGGGGGGAAGGAAGGCATCCTGTTTGTCACCTACCCGGATGGCAGGCCAACAGGGGACGCGTTTGTCCTCTTCGCTTGTGAGGAGTATGCGCAGAATGCACTGAGGAAACACAAGGACTTGTTGGGTAAAAGATACATCGAGCTGTTCAGGAGCACGGCAGCGGAGGTTCAGCAGGTGGGTTTCTTTCCTTTTTTTCTTTTTCTTTAAGACAGGGAGTCACTATGCGGCTGGCCTTGAGCTTGCTGTGTAACCCAGGCTGGCCACAGACTTTTATCAATGCTTCTGTCTCAGCCTCCTAAGTGCTGAGATCACACGCCTGGTGAGCAGGTTGGTTAGTAAGGGATTCTGGGAATTTTGCCTTATTTTCTATTTGTTTAATCCCTGAAAACAACCTTATATTATTCCTAGTGTCTTAATCTTAGAGAATACAGAATGCATAAATACATGAAAAAAAAAATTTTTTTTAATTGGTACTGGCGAACGAACTCACTGCTTGTAAGGCAGGTGCTTTATGCCGCTGAGCTAAATCCCCAGCCCCTATGAAATATTTTTTTAAATGCTGTTTTAAAACTATGTGTTTTGACAGCTTGTCCATGTTTAACAATTTTCATCTTTAAGTTAATATATCTCATTGAGGTGCATGTTTTTATTTAGAAATTTCTCTATTCTGTTTGTGGAACTATTTCTTACTTTACTGTTAGAAATTTCTATATAAACAAGTTTGTAAACTGGACATGATAGTGCGAGCCTATAATCCCAGCAGTGTAGGAGGCTCAAGCAGGAGGACTATAAATTCAATCCCAGCCTGGAAAATTTAAGTGTTTTAACAAGACCCTGTTTCAAAATAAAAAATAAAGGGCTGGAAATGAACCTCACTATGAAGGGCCATGGGTTCAGATCTCAGTACCAGAAAGAAAACCAAACCAAAATGAACTCCAAATGCTTTGTAAAATATTCATTCATTTTTGATTGTTTTTTTTTTTTTTTTTGTCTTTTTCCTTTTACTTGGTACCGGGCATCGAACTCAAGATTGCCTGCTTACAAAGCAGGCACTTATGCCGCTGAGCTAAATCCCCAGCCCTGTGCCAAATATATTTTCAAGAAGCCTCTATGAATTTTATTTCCTGTTGTCTTTAGTAGCCTTCAGAATTTGTTTGTGAAGCACTAAGTGAGGTAGTTCCCCTACTAAGACCCACGCATGAAGCCATCTATAGGTCCAAGCCATTCACTTCTTTTTTACTGGCGAGCTGAATCTATTTTACTGGCGAGCTGAATCTATTTATCTGTCTGTCTGTCTTTCTTTCGATACTGGGAATCAAACTCACAACCTTGCACTTGTGAGACAGGTGCTGTGCCACTGAGCTATATCTGCAGTTCTCAGCTAAACATTTCTTTGAAGGTGGTTTCCCATTTCCTGTGTAGCTGAGGTTGTACAGACTGTTAGCTTTTGAATTTGAGATAGGGGCCCTGGCTGGCCTCAAACTCTTTAGTGTCCTGCCTCAGCCATTTGATAGATACCTTCGTTATCTTTTCCAAGGGGTAGCAGAAGAGGCCCGATTTCATGGCTCTGTTTTGTTTTTGCAAGTGTTTAGGGTAGTCCTTGAGAGGCTGAGGCAGAAGAGTCCATAAGTTTAAGTCCTATTTGGGCAGCTTACTGAGACTGTGTCAAAATAAAAAATGCGAGTAGGTTAGCTCAGGTTGAATCCCTAATAAAAAAAAATACTGTAAGGCCTTTTGTTTCAGAGGAGGTAGTACTGTATTTGCCCAGGTAAACACAGCTTTCATAAGGGCATTGTGTGTGGTATATGACTTCTATATTTGGCAGGAGTTAGAATCATACTTTCTTACCTGAATTGCATACATCAGTGCCTCTCAGACTTTCATACGTTTAATAAATCACCCAAGGATCTTGTTAAAATGCAAATTCACCTTTCTGAGGTCTGGAATTGACCTGAAACTGCACTGCTTCCTTCTTTGTGCTTCACTTCTCTTCTCTTCTATTGTGTCCTGAGTGTGCACACAGGGCCTTGCTCATCTAAGCACACTGTCCCACTGTCCCTTACCCCATTCCCGGGATTCTGCGTTTCTGGTTTGTTTGTTTGTTTGTTTTAGGCTTTTTCCATTTTATTTGTCTTCATTTTTTTTTTTTTTCTCCATGCTACTGCAGTTTGAACTCACAATCTCGCACTTGCCAGGCACCCAGGTGCTTGTCACATTGAGCTATTTTCCCGACCCCTTGTTTTAGGCTTTTTGAGACGGCGTCTCGCTATATAGTACAGGCTGTCCCTGAATTCACTGTGTAGCCCAGGCTGGCCTCTAATTCAGGGACCCTCCTGCCTCAACTTCCTGAGTGCTGGGATTTTAGGCATGCACCACCACGTGTGGCCTGTTTCTGTTGTTAGACTAGGTCTTGCTTTGTTTGGGTTGGACTTGAACTCACTGTGTAGTCCAGGCTGCCCTCACACTCACAGCAGTCCTGCTTTAGCCTCCCAAGTGATGAGATGTCAGATGCGCAGCACCACACCCAGCTAGATTATGCATTTCGGGACAGGCTCCCTGGGAATTTCGGTGCTGGTCTGCAGATAATCTGGAGTATCGTTTCTAAATCACTTCCGTTTTGCTCTGAGTGCAGGTGCTGAACCGGTTCTCCTCGGCCCCACTCATCCCGCTCCCAACCCCTCCCATTATTCCAGTACTACCTCAGCAGTTTGTCCCTCCTACAAATGTCAGAGACTGTATCCGCCTTCGGGGGCTTCCCTATGCAGCCACTATAGAGGACATCCTGGACTTCCTGGGGGAGTTCTCCACAGATATTCGTACGCACGGGGTTCACATGGTACTTAATCACCAGGTAAGAAAGTCGCTTATTAGAAAACACGTTCGTCTACTTTTTCCAGGGATTAAAGGCCCTCTTTTACTAAAGGGTGCAAATAGTCTTTGGTTTTATATTAAGTGCTTAAGAAAAGATTTAACTGTAAATCTAAGAAGCATTTTGGTTGTACCCCACAAAGAATGCCGCCATTATTATGATAATTGAAATTCAGTTTTCATGTGTTCCTTACATTAAAATTCATCCCATTCTTGGTAACATCAAGTCAGAGCCAAGTAAGTCATCAGTTTATACAACATTTTCCTGTCATGGCTACTGCACTCTGTGACTCTGATGCTTCGTGTACTAAGCAATGAACTGCTAAGGAGCCTGTACTGAAATCTAATTGTGTTCTTTGGGTGTGCCACTGTCAACCTGCTTCCTGGTTAAATACAGTGTCATATTAGTTGCCAGACAATTTACCAGTGTTTTTTGTTAAGCAGGACAGAAGTCTGTAATCTCATAAGGTAAGAAGTTCAACTTAAAACTTTGGCACTCTATTAAAAGGGAAGTTGTGTTAAGTTTTGCCAATCATTCTCGGCACTGATGGGATGAGTGTAGGCTAATATTAGAAATACTAATTTCTTTCCTCACTACTAATTTCCTATTTCTGCTTTTCACTTGGAGATTTGATCATGTTCATGACTCTAATCTTGCCCCCTGCAAGCACTAAGTATAAAGAATCAGAAATTCAGTGCCAGCACACAATACTCCTTCTCTTAAGTTAATGTTAAGCCATATCCTGGACCTTATAATCTGATTGCCCTGTGTCTCATGCTTCACTGGTAGGAGTTTACCTTTTTATTATTTTATTCTTGTGCTGGAGATTGAGTTCGCAGCCTATGTACCTTGCTATATCCCAGCCCCATCCTCCCCACCTTTTTTTTGATCTTGAGACTTGTCTCTTCCTAAGTCACCAAGTTTCACAGGCTGAGCTCAAAATTTTCTGTCTTTCTGCCTTGGCCTCCCAGAGCGCTGGGATTATAGATCAGTGCCCTGATGTCCAGCTGAATTATGCTTTTTTTTGGTGCCGGGGATTGAACTCACGACTTTGCACTTGCCAGGCAGGCGCTTATGCCGCTGAGCTAAATCCCCGGCCCTGAATTACTCCTTTTTGAGTCACCATATCTAATAACTCTGGAGCCTTTACTGTTTAGTTAACAGCAGTAGACAGGGTTGCCTCTTTGGTCCTGGGTGATGGCATGGGAGAATTATGCTGCTCCAAGCTCTTGGTGGTCTGGAAGGTGTTAGATTTTCCTCTTGGATGGGGTTGTTGCTGACTTCCTTGGTCTGGTAACTCTTATGGTAACTTGCATGGTAATAATTTGGACCAAATATTCCCTAAGAGACTGGTAGAAAAAAACTGTAAAGTCAGGAAATAGGCCTCTTAACTAGTTGTCTTTTTCTCTCATGTTTATGCTAAATACACAAAACCAAGGTGTTCTTGCATCTGTGAAACAGAAATCTACAGGCTTGGCTTTAGATAAGAAATTCTAGCAATTATTAGTAGTGCCTCTGGATCCCCTTTGGGGCAGAGCAAGTTGATGGGGGGTAGGTGGAGGCAGCGGGTGGGCAGCGCCCCTGGCCAGTGGCAGTGTTGCTGTCCCTCGAAGCAGGCACTTCATCCTGGCCAGCAGCATTCCCGCAGGCCTCAGGGATCGAGAGAAGGGAAGTCTGTGGCAGGGCTGTGACAGACAGGCACTGGGAGCCACAAGGCTTTCCTGTAGGAGGATCTGTGAGCTCTAATACTGGTTCTGTTACTAGCTTTTCTCAATCCAATGACATTTAATCGGATTTTTCAGGAGGGAAAAGTATTTCAATATACAATCCCATATTTTGAAAGCTGCAGTCACAAGGAGACTCTTTCAAAACCTGTAAATCTGATACTAATTTAACAAACCAAAAAAGGATCACTTTCAGGTATGAGCTCTCAAAACTGTCTCTTCAAGGTTTTGTGGGCCATTCTGGTGATGAGGTGATGCGATTCGAGTCCAATCACCCAGACTGTGTGGCTAACCTGACTCTCAATGGGTGATTGTCACTTTGCATGTTCTGTAAGCCACTGGCTCTTTCCTTGTTGAGGGAGACGGTCTCTTTTTTTTTTCATTCTCCCCCCACACATCAGGGCCGCCCATCCGGAGATGCCTTTATCCAGATGAAGTCTGCAGACAGAGCATTTATGGCCGCGCAGAAGTGTCATAAAAAAACCATGAAGGACAGATATGTGGAAGTCTTTCAGTGTTCAGCTGAGGAGATGAACTTTGTGTTAATGGGGGGCACTTTAAATCGAAATGGCTTGTCCCCGCCGCCATGTAAGTTACCATGTAAGTTTTTCTTGGGTCTTGGCTCTGTTCTACGCTGTGTGCTGGTAGGTGCTTCAGCTGCTTTTGTAACTTTCTGTGCCCTTGGTTCTTTGGAGGCAGGCAAGGTGGTTATATAAGGGCTTTCCCACCTGAAATCGGTAGTATCTGGTAATCATTTAAGACCTTGGTTGTGGACACCCATAATTAGAGATGCTGCACATACTCCTTTTAGATTACATTCTTGCTTTTCCAGTGGTAAGCAGTTGATTTCTGAAGCTTAGTGTGCTCCCGATATAAGCACTGACTCTGAGAGACAACCTGGCTATGTAGCTATTTTCAATATGAATTTAAAGGTCAAATATAAGTAGAGATGATCCTTTTTCTTTATTTTTTTGACACAGGGTTTCACTATGCAATTCAGGCTGGCCTTGAGCTTGCTTTGGAGCCCAGGCTGGTCTTGAATTTGCTATGATCCTCCTGCCTCAGCCTCTTGAGTACTGAGATTACAAGCGTGTGCCACCACGCCCAGCTTTTTTTTTTTTTTTTAAAACACATTATAAGTTTAAAGCAGGATGAGTTGATGCCCATTTTTCATCTTTCACTTTTCTTTTTTTTGGTACTTGGGATCAAACTCACAACCTCATGCTTGCCAGGCAGGCACTTAAGCCACTGAGCTAAATCCCCAGCCCAATCTTTCACTTTTTTGAGCATGAACTGTATTTTGTAAATGATAACCTGGACAGTATTCCTACTGCTGCTGCCCAGGGAATCTGGATTAAGCAAGTTAGTTAAAAAAAAAAAATTAAAAAAATATATATATATGCATCATACATATGTATGTATGTGTGTATGTATGTATGTATATATAACGCATGAATGAATTAGTCAAAATTTCCATTGGATCGCAGGATCAGTGCTTAATTACAAAGCCATGCTCTTGCTCATCGGCAACTGGGTGCAAGCCATCTGTAATCCTGTTGGAGAGGAATAAGCCCAGAGACCAAGTTGTAGTTAGAGACTATGGAACATTGCAACTTGATATTGAAACGGAAGATTTTCTATGCAGTTTTCATCTTTAAGTTACACATACCTCCTTAGGCATGTTGGGTATGTTTGAAGAGCTTGGTACTTAAAATACAGCTCAAAGATAACTGAGAAAGTAAACTGCATTTATGTGCTTGATTTCAATTAAGTGGGCACTATTAGGAGTTTAGTTTTACTTGGTGGTAAAGAAAACTATACCAATAAACCTGTTTGATAAAGCATATTTGTAGAACTTTTGGTGGGGCTTAATCCTTTTTTTCCCTTGGAATTCCTAAATGCTCATATTCGATTTACCTGCTGCTTGCTGTTGGTGAATATCTAAGAGTTGTTAATGAGTGCAAAGATTTGAAAATTTATTATTAAGTTTAAGAAAATATCTTAAAATCAAGGCTTGTATGACTTTTTTCTTAAAACCCCTGAGAGTGTCAGAAGTTTTTATGGTATGTGTCCTTAAGGACAGTTTATCAAGCACCATGAGATAAAGCACTTTCCTTGACATGTGTGGCCCAAATCCCTCTGCTCTGATGGCCTTTTACTTCTCTCTTTTCCCAGTGGAAAACTGGATATAATGGGCTGCCGTCATTTCCTACCTTTTCTCCTCACAAGTTCTAAAAATTTTAAATGTATGTTTGACATAAGAAGATATTTGTATCTCTTAGATTATCTTTAGGACTTCCCAAAAATCAAAGACAAACTGTTTAACAAAAATTTGGCCATCTGACTTTAAAAGCAGGAGAGTTTACTTTTTAAATACCATAAATTGTTTATACATGCTAATATGCCTGCTGTACTGAATAGTTATTTCTGCCAACCTATAACTACCAGAAAGCTTCAATCAAGAAACCATATTTTAAAATTTAATCTCAAAATGTTAACAGTCTACAATGAACCTGCCTCCCCAAAACATCCTCTAACATCTCTTTGATATTTTAAAATTTGTCACTTTAATTCATTTACCAAAAAAGTATCTTAAGATCAACTTCATTTATGTGCTCTACATCTGTACACACCGGGTTTTGTTTGAGGACTGTCAGAATGTAGCAATCAATGTAGCCTGTAATCCCAGCGCTAAGGAGACTGAGGCGGGAGGATCATTGCGAGTTTGAGATCAGCCTGGGCTAAAAGTGGGCTCAAGTTTAGCCTGAACTGCATAATGAGATCCTCTCTCAAAAAAAGAAAGAAAAGGTTTCATTTGAGGAATGCCCAAATCTTTTATTTTTAATTCATTTGGCTGTTTGATTAATCTTCCTTTCAAGGAGCAACTTATTTTTTAATTTACTTAAAAAGAAAATATAAACACAAAACATTAAGTGATACAGAACTTTAAAGCCAGATAATAGAATATCACTAATGGCCACCATAATGCCTCTTGTTATTTTAAAAATAGCTGCCCATACCATCTGACATAATAAAATCATACAAAACAGTTGAAGCAATAAGCCTCCAAAATAAGATTATAGTCAATCAACAATGGCTATCATGATATACCTTACTATTTTTGAAATAGCTGCCTGTACCATTAGGGCATGCCAAATCTTAACAAACTATTCTCTTTGGTTGACAAAAATTTTTAATTTTCTTTGTTTTCAAGCAAAATAAAGACCTACTATATATAACCAGGCATGGTGGCTCATGCCTGTAATCTCAGCACTCGGGAGGCGGAGGCACGGTATTGCTGCAAGTTCGAGACCAGCCTAGGCTACAAAGTGAGCTCAAGGCCAGCCTGAATTGCATAGCGAGACCCAGTCTCAAAAAGACCAAAAAAAGGGACTGGATATTTAATTCAGTGGCCTAAGGTGCTTGCCTGGCACGCCTGGGGCCTTGAGTTCAATCTCTAGTACCAACAACAACCACAAAAAAAGACCTACTGTATATGTTTGTCTTGTAAATTTACGCATTATACAGTTCAATATAAATTACATAACATGTAGAAGATCCTGCCCTATAATGAATTGCTTGATAGTTTTGAAAGCAGAATTTAAGCACAGATTATATACTTTTTTCTAATAGCTAGGCACTTGCATTTGTATTATTGGTGTGTTTATGGGCTCTTTATGGCCAAGGGTCTCGCTATGCAGTCAGGCTGGCCTTGAGCTCACTTTGTAGCCCAGGCTGGTCTTGAACTCACAACGATCCTCCCACCTCAGCCTCCTGAGTGCTGGGATTACAGGCATGAGCCACCACGCCTGTCTCTGCATTTATTTCTTTAGGGCTATTTCCAAATTGGTTTTTTTTCCAGGCCTGAAGATAGAGATTAGCTTGAAACCCCATCTTCTGGATGGCCTTTAGGTGAGGATAAGGAGAGCTTAGCCGTTCCCTGTACCTGTCCACTTAGGTACAAGGTGTGCTTTGGTCTAATACCTGGCGAAGCATGTTTTACCATAACCTTTTCCATGTCATGCTGTACTACAGGGTAGTTAACATCTGCTTAATCAAAAGAAAATTGCTCAGAATGGTATGAAGAAATGTGATAGTCCTTTTCTTTAATGTATAGATGTGGCAGAGATGTTGCTGCTTTTAATTGAGCACGTGTGTCAGCTGTTGCCAACGTATCTCAAAGATGCTCTCTTTGCTCGTTTAGGCCTGTCTCCTCCCTCCTACACATTCCCAGCTCCTGCAGCAGTCATTCCTACAGAAGCTGCCATGTATCAGCCCTCTGTGCTTTTGAATCCACGAGCCCTGCCACCCTCCACGGCGTACTACCCGGCGGGCACTCAGCTCTTCATGAACTACACAGCCTACTATCCCAGGTAAGGCTCAAAGGAAGTGGAAGCGAGGGACCAACACAAAGCACTCCTTTCAGAGCTGGTGCTCCTGCTCACAAAAGGAGATTGTCTGCCTTGCTGAAGGTTAGCGTGGCAGGCCGCGGCTTCTGCTCTCATCTCTGACCCAGAAGTTAGAGAAAAATTGAACAAAGTTTGTTTTTTAACCAAATATGGGCAGGATAAATTTCTAGTTACCTATGTCTATGACTTCCCTTTTTATTCCTCCTATTATAGGTCCCCAAGTGAGTAGCACTGTAATGCTTATGTTAGAGTGGCAAGATCAGGGAAATGTATCACAAAACAGGAAAACCCGTAATGGGGACAATTGTATTTTTAAGTTGCACAAACTGGTGTGACCTCACAATGCATAAAAACTGTTGCTTAAGTTGGATGTAGTGGCACATCTGTAATAACAGCTGCAAAGGAGGCTGGAGGCAAGAGGACTGCAAGTTTGAGGCCAACCTAGGAAACCATAAGATATCATTTCCTAAGGGCAGATAGGGATAAACTGGGGACACAGCTCAGAGTAGAGTGTTTGCCTATCATGTGTGAGCCCCTGGGTTCAATCCTCACTGCATACTGCCAAAAAAAAAAAAAAGGCACATACAAAAACTGTTGTTTAATTTTCTCAGGGTTTACATTGTTTTGCTCTAAAATCTTTACTGTAAATGAATCCAAAATTACTTAAGTCTTGGGTTCTTTTTAGTTACATTCAGTTATCTGGGCAGTAGCTCAGTGTAATGGAGAGAATATAGCCAGTCTGGGAACTGTGTTTTATTTCTTCTAACTGGGGCAAATCACTTAACATTTTGGGATCTTATAAAGTGATGGGATTAGCCAAATTTTAGGCGTTTCCTTCAGGGCTGATTGCTTGTGATTAAATTGGATATACAAGGAATGACCTATTTCTTTTTCTCTTTAAATTTCTTTAACTGTCTTTGTTTAGCCAGGAGCCAGTTTATTTTATTACTGTAGCAGCAGAATTTCACTTTAACATAAGTAGAGTTACTCAGAATTTTAAAAACAATGCAATGACAGCCACAAAAACCCATTTATACCAATACCCATCCTTGGCATTTGTTTGTTTATAGTTTGTTTGATTTTGACTTTTTTTGAGATAGGGTCTTTTTTTTGTCTTTTTCCTTTTTATCGGTACCGGGGATCAAACTCACAACTGCCTGCTTTCAAGGCAGGTGCTTATGCCACTGAGCTAAACGCCCAGCGCCTGAGACAGGGTCTTGCTATGTGGTACAGGCTAGCCTTGAACTTGATTATTTAGCCTAGGCTGTCCTCAAACTCAGGGGGATTCCTCTTGCCTCGGCCTCTTGTGTGCTGGAATTACTGGCCTGCACTACCGTGTCTGGCTGGGTTTTTTTTTTTTTTTTTTGCCTATTTAGACTAAATGTTTATTAGGAATTTTTTACTGTCAGTACTACTGAAACTTCTTTATTTCACCAGGAAAGTATAGAAAGAAAGCACGACAGCTGTCAGCGGCTGTTGTGTACAGACTTGAAAACACACGACCTAGGGGCTGGGGATTTAGCTCAGTGGCATAAGCGCCTGCCTTGCAAGCAGGCAGTCGTGAGTTCGATCCCTGGTACTGATAAAAACGAAAAAGACAAAAAAAAAGAAAACACACGATCTAGTTGACCATTGAGCCAGGCATCTGCTTGCTCCTAATCTGTTGCCTTCTGCAGACCAAGAGATCGTCCCTGGCTGTGGACTCAGATTATAAGGAAGGTCTTTGTCAGCCTACAGCAGAATGCACTGTTGCTCCCACGGCCGTACGTGCAGAGGCTTTGATTCTGTCCCTGCCTGACTCCCTGAGTCCTGGGATTTGAGGGGACCTCTTAGACATGAGACCTGGAGCCTTCAGTTGCAGCCCCAAAGCAGAGAGCTAACGTGTAGTTTAACTGCTTTTGCATTTTGGGCTCTGATCTATAGGTTAATTTTTTTCCTCTGTAGTCTAAAAGATTATAATGTGTCCATTAGTAAGTAGAGACATAGACTGAGTGAGAGTCCTGTTTATGTGTCTCCTATCCTGGACAGAAAGGTCCATTGCCACTAATTGGCTATGTGTGTGAGCTCTGAATAAGGACTGTCCACTTCTTTTAAATTTATAGAGAGTAAAGGTGTAATTTATTTCATTCTTGTCATTTTTTTCTAATGTCCCCAAAGTAAAAATATATCCTAATTTAATGACTTATTTATTACTGACATTTAAACCCACCATTTTTTTTGTGTGTGTGTGGGGTGGAACTGGGAATTCAACCTTTGTTCAGAACTACATCCCCAGGTTTTTCAAAATGTACGTTGAGACAAAGTCTTACTACATTGCCTAGACTGGGCTCAAATTTGTGAGGCTCCTGCCTCAGCCTCCCCAACTGCTGGAATTACAGGTATGTACTACCATGTCTGGCTACATTTCAACTTTTAACTTTTGTCTGTTAAGCAAAGCTCATATTGCTATAAATACTTGATTCAGTTTCTGTGGAGTGATTTCACAGAAGTAAAAGATTTCCAACTGAACATCACGTGCATTGTATTTATACTGACGCTACTTTGAACTGGGAGAATACTAGGGATTCAACCCAGGGCCTTTCGAATGAGATACATGTCCACAGTTTCTTTAAGTACCCCTTTCTTTTTTTCTTTTTTTTCTTTTTATCAGTACCGGGGATCAATCTCACGACCACCTGTTTGCAAGGCAGGTACTTATGCCGCTGAGCTAAATCCCCAGCCCCTACCTACCCCTTTCTATAGTTTTTATTCTGATGCAAGGTCCTGTAAAAAAAACCCACCAGATTGTGCAGCCTAAGCTCAAATTCAAGATTCCCTTTCCTCAGCCAGTCAGAGTGCTGGGGTTATAGGCATGAGCCACCATGCCTGCTTAAACTAATATTTCTGCATTAGGTCTTTGTTTTGTTTGAAAAGGGGTCTTGCTAAGTTACCCAGGCTGGACTTGAACTCAAGTTAGTAGGTAAATGTTTAAGTGTATTTTGTCTGTTCTCTAATAGAGAAGATTGATGTGACAAACTGTAGGTTAAAGAAGGAACAATTTTGAGAGGCTTTGAGAAGCTTTCGAACTTTTTTTTTTTTTTTTTTGGTCTTTTTTCATTTTTATCAATTCCAGGAATCGAACTCGCGACTGCCTGCTTGCAAAGCAGGCGCTTATGCTGCTGAGCTAAATTCCCAGCCCCTTTTCGAACTTTTTTTAACTTTAATTTTTTTAGCGGGATATCAGGGATTGAACCCATGATCTCATGCTTGCCTGGCAGGCACTTGTGCTGCTGAGCTAAACCCCCCTCATTTTTATTTGTTTGTTTGTTTTGCTTTGAGACAGTTTCATTATGCAGTTTTTAGGCTATCCTTGAGCTCACTTTGTAGCTCAGACTGGTCTCAAAGTTAAAATGATCTTCCTGCCTCAGTTTCCCAAATGCTACAATTATGTTTGAGCACCACCCTGCCTGCCTGTTTTTTTAAATTGAATTTTAATTTTATTATATTTTTTATAATTTATTTATTTGGGCACTAGGAATTGAACCTAGGGCCTAGTATGTGCTAACATGTTCTCTACCCAGTCCTTACATTAAAATTTTATTTTTAAATTGTCAATCTTTACTTTTTTGTTTTTTTGTCTTTTTCAGGCAGAGTTACGTTCACTGTGTTCAGGGTGGTCTTAAACTCATTTGGTAGCCCATGCTGGCCCCAAACTTCAAAGCAATTCTTTCTTTTAATATCTGTTTGACATCAGTAATGCACTGCAGTGTTCACATTAATGCATGTGTGTTCACTTCAAAGCAATTCTTTACGGCATTCAAATGGTGGTGCACTTTGCAGGTTGCAAAAAAGTTATTTTAAACTGCTTTTTTTTGTTTTTGAGTCAGGATCTTGCTACCTAGTTGAGGCTGACCTTGAATTCAAGGCAATCCTCCTGCCTCCATCTTCCAAGTGCTGCGATTATTGGGGTGTGCCACTGCACCCAGCAGCTTTCTAGTTAGCTTAACTACTTTTGTTGTTGTTGCTGTTCTGTTTTTTTGGTACCAGGGATTGACCTCACGTTTGCCAAGCAGGCATTTACACTGCTGAGCTAACCCCCCATCCCCAGCTAAACTGTTTTAAACCTTTAGTTTAAGTGAGCAAACTGAGCAACTTCTGTGTGTGACTTTGATAACATTATGGCCAATAGGCCGTGACCTGTGTACATAGAGCAGGCACCCTACTCACCTGTCTTTCCACAAGAGGTGCAGCGAGAACTCCCTCCCTCACCCCCTGTTTGGTCTCTTTTTGATTTGTTCATACATTTGGCAGTGAGCTCACCAGTTGCAGTTCTCTGGGAATGTAAGTGTCTTTCAGCATGAAGATTTAGCTTACCTGGTGAACATCTTCAGGGAAAACATGAACCATAGAGCAGATTGTTCATTGTATCATTAATGAGTTCTTTGAGGGTCTAACACAGCATCTTGAAAAGCATGTGAAATAAGACTCATTTCCTTTTCTCCTTATGGACTCCTGTCCAGCCTTGGAAAAGGGTTCCATTCTCCTAAGGCAGGGATCCATGCCTTAGTCAAGGCCCAAGAATGAGAGGGGGTCATCTATCCTTATCCACTGTACCTGCCACTCCAGCCTTGGAGAGAAGAGCACACACTTGCCCCCTCCTCACATAAGGACTGCATTTCATCTCTGTCCCTCTCTCTCTCTCCATCTGTCTGTCTCTGTCTCTGTCTCTTATTCATTTTTACTGAACCCAGAGCCCTCACACCGAGCTATATCCCTAACCCTCCTTATTTTTTACTCTGAGACAAGTTCTTACTAAGTTGCTGGGCTGAAACTTGCAACCCTCCTGACTGATCCTCCGTAGAACTGAGATAGCAGATTTGTACCACCATGCCCTGCTCAGGCATCCTATCTTACAGTATGCTTTGCAGCCAAACAAGGTAATACATACTTGTAATCTCAGCACTCCGGGAGGCAGGAGGTTTGTA